GGCTGGCGGGAGGGGCTCCTCCCTTCCCCCCCCTCTCAGGACTGAGGGGGGCAAGCCCTCGTTCCCCTTCCCTGTGACCTTTCGCATCAGGGAGGGGGGGAAATGGGGTTGGACACTCGGGAGAAAGGAAACTTCCCAAAGTCCCACTTGTGGTTTTTTAGAGAGGGGGGAGTTGGGGGGTAGGGAAAGTTACGACCCCTATATTGACGCGAGTTAATTACGTGGGGAGGGGCCGGGGAAAGGGTTCAGTGTTTGGCGGGATTCCTTTAAATTGGGAATGGACGCCCCTGAGATTAAGGGGGCTTGACTCCCAAACCAGGGCGCCCAGTGAAGAGGCTGAGTTTCTGTGCATCTCCCTGCTGTGCAGAGAGAGGTGGCACGGGGATGAAAGTTTACGAAGGTGGTTTTGCGAGTGGGTGGGATTATGACCGTTTTGCCTAAGGTTAACTCCTTACGGACATGATAAGGGTGAGGGAATAAATAATACGGGTTTGATCTGAAGATGTCGTTTGTCCCTTGAAGACACTTTTGTGGAGGTGGTGCAGCAAGTTCATGATGAACGTTGATGTAAGCCATAACTTGCTACTCTGTTGTCGCCATATGCTGTTTGTGTTCTTAAATCTTTACTTGGTTTTTTTTTCTTACTAAATTCCTATCTGCTTTTCTCAAGTGAGAAGTTTATTTTGCTATAGAATTCACTTATGCCTTGTAATTTACAGTTTTATAACTGCAGAGAGTTGCAATATTATTTTTTACCAGCAAGTGTGCTCTGCAGAAATAGTTGGGGTGATCTTGCACCCAAATTGGCTTGAAAAATTGGAAGGTGACTCCTAGATGGCCTTATAGAAATTATTAATTCAGCATCTTAGAAGGTCTAGCTTCTGTTGTAAATCACAGTTTGCACTCTATGCAGTAAGGACTACTCTGGAAAAATCCTGTTACTATTAAGGTCTGACTAGACAGAGCGAGAGAGCGAGAGAGCGCACAGACACAAATATGAACTTTGCTCCAGAAAACATACTATCAGTACTTGTAACCATGCATTACAGCTAGCAGTTTTAGACAAAGTTGGGCTATTTTGAGAGACTGAAGTTCAAACCATATTTTGTTAGTAATGAATCATGGACAGTTGGATGATGGAATCCCATCCCTGGAAAACATCAGCGTATTGTTTCAGGAACTGGGCTCGAAAGTAAGTGGGCACAGAACTGTAGCTTATTTGGATCCCAAGCACATCTGCCAATAATAAGCCACACTGAACTCATTTGGACTTACAAGTAGATCTGTGTAGGATCACATTGTTTCTTTCCTGCAAAGATTTATGATGCCATCCTTACAGGGAAGAATATCAAATGCTAACATTTGGCTCACTGTACTCAAGAGCTCATTAGATGGTGTCTGGGAGTCAAGCCATCTCTGCCCACACCTCAGCTTTTGTTCACATTCAGGTACAACAAAGAGTTTTCTGGTTCAGGCAAGAAAAGATTTGGTAGCTGGTTCAGCAGACCTGGATCAACTGGTTCAGTTCCCAATTATGTGTGAAAGCATACTTGTCACTTGCATATATAAATATGTGTATTACAATAATACTGTTTTATGCTCCTAATGGTATAGCTGTGATCCCAACTTGGTGTTGTAGCCATGCTGGTTGGGGTTTATGGAAGATACTCTCCCCGAAGTGCAAATATGCCAGCTAAATTGAAGATTTTTGTGTGGTGAGGAGTGTGGTACAGAAGGGTACACCAATCATGTTGATCTTGGCTACTTCTGCCTCTTAAAATGTATACAGTATAATTTCCAAGACTTATTCCTTGTGCCTACTTCACTTGGCCCTATAGTACTGGATTGCTAGTTTCTTGTCTCATGAAGATACACTCTTCAGAAAAAGGAGACTGATAGGCTGTACTCCCTGGGCCCTTATAAACCTTGTCACACTAGCAAGGTTTATAAAGTTCTGACAACGAAGAGCTATGGAGACTGCTTAGCCTTGGGGGAAGCATTTCTGCGATGCACAGAAATGATATCCTTTTCACCTCTCTATTCCTTTCCTCCAACAAACTGGAGGAAAGTTTCCTGCACAAAATACAAATCCAAAATGTGTAAAACTCCTTACAGGTATTGATTTCTTATACTCTTAAAGTGCATGTACTTTTGAAATGTAGTTAAAAGCATTTTGCCTAAACTTATGAACCCATACTCTGGAGCCTTTGGTGTTCTTTCCAGTTTCACTGAAGAAAGTTTCAAATAGCCAAAACTATATATAGTTGAGTGGATGTTCAGTTCCATGGTTTCTGTAAACTTGCAGTGATCCACTTTACTGGGCATCCATGATGCTCTTTGGGGATATGTAATGTCTGGTGCAGAAAATATCTGGCAGCAGTCACATCTGAACCCAGAGCTGTTCTCCTGTCACTCTCCCAGTATTGACATAGATAACTTGGATGTGTGAGTAGGGTTTTGTAATGATACAAGTTACCAAAATAAACTGTAGATGCATTTGTGCCTTAAATACTGTGTTCATTTCTGCCTACCTCATCTTATAAGTATAAAAGTGAAAACAGAGAAGGGAAGAGTTAATAAATCTATTTCATCTGAGGAAAAAGTAAAGCTATTAAGAGCCACTGAAGTAGATAAAAATTACATAGGTGAGTGTAAAAATTATATAGACTGTGAATAGAATGAGGAATACTTTATTACTTAATATATTACAATCAGTGGGTTCACCAGTTAAATAAACACAGCAAATATATAAATATTTTTGCACAGAGTACAGTATATTTGTGATTTGCTAATAAAAACATGAGCAGTAGTGTATAAATAAATTCAAAATATTACCAGAGCAATTTATGAGTGATAGTAATATCAACAGATGTTTGCTAAGTTGGTCGGGGTAGGCGTTTGCTGAGCTGTAAGTGCTCCTAGTTGAGAAACACCCAGAGGGTAAAAAAAGGATACCAAGGAACAGAATTCTGTAATGGTACATTGAAGAATTGTGCTTCCTGTGACAGATTTGGACTCTGCCAGATGCACAAGTGTATATTTGGACTGGTCCAGACCCTTCAAAAGCTTCTGTTGTAATGAACAGATAATACAGGCCGCAGTACTTTTTAAGAAACATAAGGCTACAGTGTGAGATGGAGGAGGGGGCATGGAAGTAGAATTATTACCCAGCTACAGAAAGGTGAGTGGGGCACTAGGAATTTTTAACTTCAGGATTTTTAGCTTCAGAATATAATTTTAATTTCCATGTGCCTGGTGTAGTGAAATGTATATATCTAATATACAGTCTGAGGTTTTTATTAACTTATTTGGTCATCACAGATGACTAGGAATTTCAAGGCAGTATATAAGGTGAATGGGCAACCTTGCATAGATGGAACTGATCCATTTACAGTAAGCACAGGCATCCTTCAGTCTCGAGAGACTATGGTAACATGCTCTGAATCGAGGAGTGTCCTCTCCAGAGCATGAAGCCCGGGTAAGGTAATATGGAGGATAGGCTGTTACCCAAGCAGCAGATCCCCCTCTCCACATTGCTGAAATGGTCCAATGGAAAGGCAAGAGCCAATACAACTGGTTCCAGCAATGTCGCAGGAGTTGGCAGAACGACACATGCTGCCTTCGGGACTCCAGCTCCGGAATTTACAGTACTGGTCTGTGAATAGCAAGGCAACATAGCAGGCTAGGATAGAATGGATCTGGTAGAAATTCATTTCCAGTGAGCCTCCTAAGACACTGGTTCTTAACCTTGGGTTACTCAGGAGTTTTGGACTGCAACTCCCAGAAGCCTTCACCACCAGCTGTGCTGACTGGAGTTTCTGGGAGTTGCAGTTCAAAAACATCTGAGTAACAAAGGTTAAGAGCCACTGTCCTAAGAGATGAAAACAAAGGGTTTTTTAATGTTAGCCGCAGAAGAGGGCTTTTCTTTCTGCATTCAGGAAGCCTGGGGATGTTCCGTTTTAATGTTTCACGACTAAGAGCTCACGTTAAGTCAAGACTATGTCTGCTGTACAAATAAGGTATGAATTGGCTCAGCTGGTAGCAGTTGGAACATTTGAGCACTCAGAAAAGCTTGTAAACTCCTTTGTTCCCCCAGTGACTCTCTCTGCCAGAATGGAGAAGTATCGCCAGCAGAGCAGCCTTGATAAAAAGCCCCACCTGCAAGGGTAAGAAGTTATGGGTGGTTTGACAGTCATTTCGAGGCCAGACCTGTTCTGTATAGAGACCTGATTTGGCCTAGAGAGGCTCAAAAATAGAATGGCTGTTGAAATATCTGAGCACTTATGGAGTCCTGTAAGCAAGTTTTCTTCTCTTCTGTCTGCCGTGGGAAGTCGAAAGTGTGAGAAGCAATATGAGTGGGAACTGTGTCCTGTGTGTTGGTAACACCTGGCAGCTACAGCAGCAAATTCATTTGAAATATGCCATAATTCAGAAATGCAGAAGGGGGAATAGCTGCTGGATTGTTTGAGATGTGAAGGAAGATTATATTTTCCCTTCTTAGTGACTCTTGCCCTTTTGCAAGGAGGGGAATTGCATTTTGAAAGTATTGTTTGGTACTTTGAGAACTTTGGTAAATGCGTTGTAAATGCTGCATGTAACAAATAAGTGCCAGGGTGTACTGTTCAGTTATTTTCCCTGGTTTTCTGCCAGATACACTGGTTTGGACCCTGTTTTCATCTGCGTGCAAAAGAAGACTGCAGATGCTAAACCATTAGTTCTGTTGCTGTTGACTTTGTAAGGGAGAAATAGGGGCAGAAAATATTTATTTCTGTCAAATATTTTTTTATTTTTTTATTTTTTTAATTTAAATCCCGCCTATCTAGTCAGCTCAGGACCACTCTAGGCGGCTAAATACTAGAGATTTGTTTTGTATTCATAAAGATGGTGTAGTTATTGTAAAAGGAAAATCTCATTTTGTTGCTATCTCTGTCTTCAGTTTTGCACACAGAAAGTAAAAGGAAATGCTAAGGACTGAGTTATATTCCCAGCTATGCATCGAGCCAGTGTCACAGGGTGAAGGCTGGAGTTCTCGTACTGTAAAAGTTGTCATCGATTGCTGTTATTCTTTTAGATAGCTTACTCCTCTGTGTGTGACTTATTGGTAACAAGGAAATGAAGAACCTTAAGTAGTCTTTGCTTTGCTTTGAGAAGGGAGGGCATGGAGATTCTCTTCTTTCTGGGCTTTGTTGAAGTCACTGTCACCATAGTATCAGAACACAAAAGGTTGTCTGGTTTGCTGATTGCACAAGGAAAGAGTCCAACCCAGATTTTTCATTAAGACTGCAGTCCTCAACTGACTGGTGAAAAGTTCCCGAGAACTTAAGAAAATGTAGGGCCAATATGTTTATTCTTCTTCCAATGTGATCAACCGTCTCTCTTGATAGGGCCAAAATCTGGGTTGATCTCCCCCTTTATATATATATATAAAGGGAGAGAAATATCTATTATTCATGACCTTGCTATCTCTTGATTAGGGATGATTTGTGAACATCCTAATGAAAATAAATATATAAGTAATTATCTAATTAACTTTGGCCCTGAGAAGAAATGTTTAATTCTTAAATATG